AATCTGGAATGCTCCTGGATAGGAGTCATGCTTCGTCTCCTTGGAGCTGCATGAACACAAGGACACTGGGTACACGGAAGCACCAGCCTCTTCCAGGAACTGTGCCTACGAGATCGCATCACAAAAGACAAAGGTCTAGGCGTGAGCACAGGTTGTACAGACTGACTCTCGAGGGACACCTCAGTAGCGACCAGGAGCATCTCTTCTTTAAAATCACACGCCACCACAGCTTTTCCACAAAGGTGGCCCCTCTACTCCGGGACACAGTCTGCTATCAACATGTAAAAAGGTACTACCCTCGAATGTGTGTATATACCATTTCGCTGAGACACAAACCTTGCCTGAAGATTTTCTTCCTGAAAATCCATGGAACATTTCACAGTTCAATGACCCTAAGAAATGATTTTGAATTACTTCCACTCGTGAAATAGAAGGAAAGCATTTTCCTCCAGTATCTATAAATGGAGGCTGCAGGGAGTATAGGATCCGTAGGAAGAGGGTTCAAGTTTTGGTCTTTGCCTTGAACACTTTATCAAGGTCTCCGAGTCTGTGATGTTCATCCAGTGGTTCACGGGATTGTCCCCCAGTGACCATCATTTCACTACACAGCAAAATATTTTTAAAGAATGATGAGAAAAATATGTAAATGAAATGTTGCTGCACAGAGACTCCTGATTTTGAGTTTGCCACCGAACTGACAGGAGGCTGTGTTCTTCCAACTAAGGGGCAAACAAGCCAAAAAAAATTTCGTTCAATGTCCACTAAACTCTGAGTTACATAAAGGGTAGAGATGAGGTGTAAAGAGGAAAATACATAAAGAACCTAGAAACAGGAGACACGCGGATTACAAAAGGAGACGGAAGGAAGGTGTACTCTGGGCTAAAGAAATGAAATGGAGAGAAAAATGTCTGCGTCTGTTTTTAATGAGAGGCGAGTGGCTTCCTCTGGCAGGTGCAGAATGAAGACTGCGTGCAAACCAGGCGGGGATGAAGCGGTGGTTGCAGAGGGCATTGGGCATGGAGAACTCACTCAAGAAAGAGCTGACGTACGTCTGCGGCAGGTGGGAGAATACCCGGTTTGACTCCGAGTCAGCAGAAGCATCACCCCACTCTGGGGAAGGGCTGCACTTCAGCTCAGCTCCCGGCATACAGGGGAGGATGTGTGGGGAGCAAGGATGTAACAGGTTTTGGAACAAGCCACACATTCACAGATTACCACAGCTGCCTGAAGGGAGTAGATAGGAAGCCAGGTACTTGGAGGTGAGTTTTGTGATCCCTGTTGGTATTCACAGCAGAGTGGACTGTGGGACCCAAGCCTGAGGAGAGAGAAGAAAAAGCTCTGGGGTTTCCCAACCCCTGAGGAGTCTCTGCAGTTGTCCATTCACAGAAACCTAGAATTTTGTCTGAATTTGACAGGGTTTTCCTTATGTTTCAAATGTTACCCATGGAAGATGCTTGTATTCATTATCTCCAAAGATCTTGGATAGTAGTACCTTGAATTTAATATATCCTTAATGAATAATTACCGAGTGAATGAATCAACCATGCTCCCAAATGAGGAATGTGTCTTACATTAATTAAAATAGGAGTCAATAATGTGCACAATATAGCCTATATTTTCTTTATTACTGCCATTTGGCAAATTGAGGACACGCTCTAGCAATTCATATCTCCCTCCGAGGTAAGTTTAATACCTATCATGATAGGTTTTGGCAGCTTTCTCCTGGGGTCCCCAAGGCTCACTAAACATTTTAGGAGGACACTGGGCATTATCCTAGTGGCCAGGTGAGATAATCCACTGCCAGGTGTGGGAGAGAAGTTTGGTCCTGCCTGTTGTAACCAGCAAATTCTGTACTGAGGAGGTCTGGAATGGGTGCTGATGGCATGAGGGACCAAGGGCATGCAGCCTGGAGCCTTTTTACTTGGTTCCAAATGAAGTTTTTTACTCCAGAGGAGGTGGAAAAATTTTCACTGCCATATGTGCTAGGGAAGAACTAAAACTCAAGCAGACAGGGAAGCTGGGCAGAGGATGGGGGAGACTGAGAACCAAGGGTTTTCTGAGCAGTAGCCCACAGCTGGAGCTTAGCCGAAGGGGGAGTATTTGACCTTGCGGTAGTTAGGCAACTCATTCATTACTTGGTAATGACAAGAGCCTTAGATCATAGGCAGATGACCCTGAATAGAAAAGTCAGTATTCTGCTAACTCAGCATTAAGGCTGGAGTACAGGTCTTGCTGAAGGAGGCTTGCAAGCTTCTGGGATCTGCACTGACCAACATTTCTAATTGTTCCCTCCATCACAGAGTACCTGCTTTGATCTTCCCCAACTCCAGCCCATCAAGTCATCCGCTTTGGCTGCTCTGGAGCTCATAGGTATAACTATACATGCAAAGTCATGTTTTCAGAAGGGGCTTTTAATTCCACTCAAAAACATTTTTATGTAGCCCCTTCTTGTTTCCATTTCCCATTGCAATTTTCTTCTCTTTCCCAAGGGACAAGATCCTTTTCCCAGAGGAGAACCATCTCACAGCAACCACGAGTAGAGCATCTTTATGTGCATACATCGTGCAAATCTTATCTTTAATAATCTCAGTAACTTTTAATCCCCACTTCATCCAGACAGGAGCTCAGTGAGGTCACTCAGGATGTGTTCTGGCCACTCATGTGTGTCAGGCTATGTGTGACACTCATGTGTGTCAGCATGTGTGTCAGGCTGCGTCTCAATACGGAGTGCTCTATAGTTTGGAACATGCTTTCACACACATTATAGAGTTCTCCAACCTAGGAATTAAATGTTATTATTGCTTCTATTTTACAGAAGATAACACTGAAATGTAGATAGGTTATGTGACTTACCCATGTTAAGTTATTCACGGCAGCTGAACTAGGATGCGAACTTGTGTCCTCCTACTCTACACTTCTTGGTTAACTAACCATGAAGAAAGAAATGGAAGCCTCTAGACATAAACTTCCTTGAATTTCCTTATATCCACATTCAAATTTATTTTTTTTTCTTTTTACTCCACTTCTCCTATCTCAGGGAGAAGTTGATTCTATTCTATGTTTTTTTTAAAGATTTATTTTTTATTTATTTGAGTGAGCAAGCGAGTCAGAGAGAGAGAGAGAGAGCACAAGCAGAGGGAGCAGCAGGCAGAGGGGGAGAGGGAGAAGCAGACTCCCCACCAAGCATGGAGGCAATCAGGGGCTCGATCCCAGGACTCTGAGATCATGGCCTGAACCAAAGGCAGATGCTTAACCGACTGAGCTACCCAGGTGCCCCTCTATTCTATGTTCTTAGAAGTTCTCTCAATTGTCCATGAATAGCCTTATCTTGCTCCATTTCTTCACCCTTCAAGTCTCAAATCTTTCTCTCACCTTAACTGCTGTTTCTAATCACCAGCTAAGGGCACATTTTCTTAACAATGTACTGTATTTATTCCATACACTGCTCTCCCACCCCTCAACTCTCCACAACTCACTATGTCTGTTCTGTTTTTCTGAGCACTCTATGTGCCTCCTTATCTCCATACTTCTGTTTATATTGATTTGAAATGTCCTATTTGCAGAAATTGTCTTCATTAAGAATGAGCTCAAATGTTGTACCCACTATAAATATTTCCCCAATTACTCCAATCAGATATAATGGTATAGTCTCTATGTTGCCAACACACTTTGCTGACAAGGAAAACACATCACTTATCACATCAGAAAATTATTTGTCTTCATCTGTTTCAGCTTATAGCTGTCAGCACAATGGAGATAAGAAGAGAATTTTATTTATCTCTACACACCTTGAAGCAATACACATGGTCCTTGACTAAACCTTTGTTGGATGGATGGATGGATGGATGGATGGATGGATGACTAGTGATTCGGTTACTACTGCAATTTTTCAACATGCCTCAAGAGGGGCATGATCTGATTTCAGGCTTTTTTCCCCCTCATTTTAAATTTACACTATTATTAGCCTGAGAATTTATCTTGCCTGCTTTGTGAAATTTTGGCTTTCAACTAAAAAAAAAAAAAAATGACCTGCTGTATGGAGTCATGGAAAGGGAGAGGGAATGATTGATCATTTTTCTTATAAAAGTAAATATACTTCTGTCATCCAGGTGATCAATGTTGCAAATAAGCATCCAAAAAAATAAAAAATTATATTTGTAAGTTTAAAAAGATGATAGGAATCGATCTTCTATTAATAAATGTTATATTCACATGTAACACAATAGTAAACTTCATTAGATTGGAATAATGAGTTTGGGGAGGTAGGGAGGAAAAGGGAGAAGCTAGCCTGAACTATGGAAGTCAGAATTTATTGAAAGCAATGCAGTTTTATTACTTTCAATACTATAACCTGCCAATAAAGTCTGTCTAAGGAGACATCTGCTTAATGACATGGATCCTTACTTTATAGCTGAATCTTCTTGCCTAAAGACCACTGTATATGCAAAAGCCATGAAAACAATTATTCTCTTTAAACAAGTTAGAGGTGTTCCCTTTATTTCTCCTGTCAAATTCATTTCCTGCAGACACTTTAAAGGTAAATTTCTCCTTAGTCTGGGTCAAATGGTCAAGATTGTATATTAGCAATATCTGAATTAATGAGGTCTTAGATATTTATAAAGGAACGCATTTCTGGGAAATAAAGTCCAATGTCCTGGAGAAGTGTAAGATGCTTTAAAAATAAAAACAGGGAAAATGTAAACTTTTTCAAATAAGATAAACACTAATTAATCATTAAGCTCGATATAACTGAAATCTATCTTAAAAATCTTTGGTTTCCTTTGTAAATTCCTTGGGGCAAGGATTATGATTTGCTCACTTCCCTTCCCCACCTTCCTAGATGATACACCCCAACAATGGCACCTCAGCTTTGCTTTCTGGTGACAGTTGTTATCAGTGTAAGAACAGGTGTTTAAGAGGGACATGATGGAGTTTTCAGATATTCCTGTTGTTGTTATCTATAGCCACCCAAGACTCAAACATAAGTCAAGTTGACTCACTGATTCTGGGTACAGGCTACAGGTAATTTACTGGCTCCCATCCTGGAAAAAAAGAGGAAGGAAATTCATATGCGCCCATTATGTCTAAATACATTTTAAGACTTTTTTCATAAACATGCCTCAATGCCTCTAGTCTTTAATTTCTAACAAAGAAAATCATAAAGTGCGAGGGCGAGGGTCAAGAAATAGAGTATCTCACCCTTGTGTTTCTAGGCTGCTGAAGAAGTGACAGGCTTGGTGTCACTTAACAGGAAACAGGGCACTTTCAGACTTTGCCACAGAAAAGACTGAGTCTTGTGCCTGTTGTCTCTGCATCAGAGAAAGAGAACTGGGGACTGGGGTGGGGGTCTGGTAAGTGGAACAGGAATATGTCCACTGAAGGGAAGAGAATTTTCCTGAATTTTTTGCATTCTGCTTTGTTCTGTGTCAGTATGTTAATAACCAATTTCATTTCCTGCCTAGGATATTTGCATAAATCTCTGTTTATATCCAATTATATTTTCTGCTTAGATTCTTTGAGTCCTTGGGACAGACCTCTTTGAATAACATTGATATTCGGAATAGATACGCTGTGTGCATCTCCTGGTGTTGAGTATCCATGGCTCACTGTTGGACACCTTGATCTGTGAAGCCTGGAAGAGTAAATGAACTAAAATCTAGGATGAAAGAAAAAAGGCTCTTTGAGGGAAGTGATCCCATGGATATTAAATCATCCAGAACTAATGTTCATTTATTCTGTAGTAAAGAGCACTGAGAAAGAAATCTTTGAGTTTTCCCTGAGCCAATGATTTTTCATCCTGATAATCAAGAAGGACCTCTGTCTGCTGGATGAAGTTGCTAAATGTAACATAGTAAATTCCTTCTGGCTTAGTCATCTTTGGGGAGAGGAGAGCCTCAACTCATTCAGAAAACAATTCCAGGGAGCCGCAACATGGTAAGTATGACTCTTTAGATTTCCACTTTCCAGATTATATAGTTCTAATTCTTCCCTTAAATAACACACTACACATATGTAATGTGTGATATGTATTATATACTGTATACCCTACCACATTTTATATAATCTATAATTTTGATATATTATATAATATATAACTTTACATGAATATTAAATTATATATTACATGCCAAACCATATATATAATATGACATGCCAAACTATATATTAATATAGATCCTGTATTAAATACATGTATATGTAATGTCTTGTTCTCTGTATGCTTTTTAAAAATATCCCTTTCAAAGTATGTTGATAAAAACTTGAAAAAATACTGAAGACTGGTGAGGCTTAAACAGTGATAGGAGTAAGTGTGTTTGCTGTCCTGTGTCGTTTAAATAACCTGCTGACAATGTAACTCATTGATGATATTTATTTTCTAATCCTAATTGTGACAAAGGTTCTATTGGCATTTGCCTTTTTAATCAATCTTTCACTAAATTTCATTTGTGCTAAAGTATAGTTTATACATATGTCAATTAAATGCAGTTCTGCCTTCAGAATGACTTAAAAAATACACCCAAGGGCATTCTGAATAGTATTGTCATGAGTTTCCTGGTATAAAGTATCAGCAGCTCCACTTGATTTAGAAATTCCTGCATTTTGGATGAAGGCATTTATAAGTCATTTGTATAGTTCATCAATAAGTTATAGGTCCTACAGTACAACTGATGCCCGTGGGCTAGAAATTGACATGTGATCCATGCTTCAACCCACTTTGATGTAATTGCAACTCTGTATTTACTCGTTCGCCCATGTAACAGTAGCATGATTGAGATCACACTTGCATGGCTTGGCGATAAGAATATTGTTTAGGCTAGAACCCAAAATCTTACTTCATACGAAACTGATTTTATTCAACACATTTTCATTGTTTATATAATCCATTACATAACCATGGTAGGAAATTAAATTGATGTGGAAAAAAATGGCTATTCAAAAAGCTAAATGTGGCTGCTCCTTTATCTCTCATGACATTCTGGTTTGCTTACGGATTGCATGAGGAATTGTTCTTATTGGGTATTGCTTTCAAGCTCTGGCTTACAGTGATCAAGTAATTTCCTTAAAAAATGTGAACATGACTGGCTATTTCCCCCATCTCTATGATCACAAAAATGTAAAGGCTGTGCAAGGTCATCTCCCAATTTCTTTTATTCTTTTTTTAATGTATTGTGGTAAAAACCAGACAACACGAGACCTATCCTCTTAACACATTTTAAAATGTGCAGTACAGTATTGTTGACTCTAAAGGATAATGTCGTATAGTAAGATGTCTAGAACTTGTTCACCCTGCATGACTGAAATTCTATACCCATCGAACACTAACCGCCGTTTCCCCTCTCTCCTCCCCAGCCCCAGGAAACCATGGTCCACCAATTTCCTAAGGGTCTCAGAAAACCTGGCATTAGCGCATAATAGTGAAGTACAGTCAGGAACTGGATACTCATCCCTGGTCTAGTTTGGCTCCCCACACATCACAGACTGAAGTGTATTAGATGAACGCAAGTCTCTGACATTTTATAGTAAATTTGCTGAACATAGGGAGGATCCGGTCTTTCTCCTCTTTATAACTTCCCTGAACCTAGTTTTGTGTCATGTATGAACAGGTACTGAATTAAATTAAATTATAAAATTTCTTTTTCAGGTAAAAATTTCTTATTTATTTGACACATGGAGAGAAAGAGAGTGAGCGAGTGCACAAGCAGGGAGAGCAGCAGGCTTTGCTTAGCAGGGAGCCTGATATAGGACTTAATCCCAGAACCCTGAGATCATGACCTGAGCCAGAAGCAGACACTTAATTGACTGAGCCACCCAGATGTCCCTAAAAACTTCTTTTCTGATAAAAAGGACAGAAAGTAAATACTGCTTATTTGTTTTATTAACTTACCTCAAGTTAATGAATTGTCTTCATAAAGAAAAGCACCTTCCCTCACTACTCAATAATAATAATAGTGTGTATAGCTCTTAAAGGCTTTGATTGTATCTTCTAAATCATTGTTGTTCCTATAAATATTTGACAGAGAGAGATCACAAGTAGGCAGAGAGGCAGGGAGAGTGGGGGAGGGGGAAGCAGGCTCACCGCTGAGCAGAGAGCCCGATGATGTGGGGTTCAATCCCAGGACCCTGGGATCATGACCTGAGCCAAAGGCAGAGACTTTAACCCACGGAGCCACCCAGGTGCCCCCCTATAAATATTTTTAATGGACTACCACGGATGTTGGGCTCAGTCCATATAATCAGTATAGATTATACTGACTTCCTTGTTGCATGATCATATATTAAATAACTATGAATGTTCTTCCATAGTCAACTGTGAAGATGACTTTAAATGTCAGCCTTCAGGCTTGTTTCACATAGCAGAAATTAACTGGGTTTTGACCACCACCCCTGAAATGAAGAAGAGTTTAAACCTCACATCCAGTGTACATGTTCTTATATCATGCTGATAAGATTGATTATGATATTAAGGGCTTAATGGTATAGGCAATCTAATGAAACAGGATCTTTCCAGGTACCCCATGACTTTCTTCTGAGTCATTTTTGGTTTCGGTAGTAAAGCACGTTTCACTTGTTGAATGAAACTCGGCATAAGCATCACACTCACTGAATAGTCCTAGAGCTTTGATGGGAAATCAATTAAAAAAATAGCATTTCACCGATCCTTTTCCTCAGGGTATGAGAACTCCATGCATCATCAATAGCATGCCGAGTCAAACAGGACTCACACTCAAGTGAGAGAACATTATATGACCACAGTGCACTTTTCTCAAAGTAAGTCCTCTGGCCACAGTGAGAAACTAGTCGGGTTGTGCACCATCATCCTTACCTAACAGAGAATACAAAGACAGGAAAAGGCTGGACAGTTTCCTAAGACTGTGTGGCAATTTGTTGTTAAAACTGAAACAGGGTTACCTTTCATGAATGAATCAGGGTTCTTCCCCCTCCAGCTAAGCCTTTCAGAGATGCGATGATCAATGCCCTCATTTCATATACTGGTATTCTGATACAAAAGTGACCGTGGTGAAGTTTAGGTTCTCTGCTAACATCTTATTGTTGTATTTAAAAGTTTAGCCCAATATTTTCTTTTGAAATATTAATTTGGTCTAAACTTAACCTTCTTCTCTGTTTTCTTCTAAAATTACTTGGAAGCACAATTATTAAATTAATAATAACCACAATAATATCTAGTATGTACTGAAACCTTATTAAATATCAGACATGTTGCTGGTATTTATGTGAACCTTATCTAATTTATATCAGACTTATTAGGATAAGCACTGGGTGTTATATGAATCTGATGAATCACTAAATTTTACTCCTAAAACCAATATTACACTAAATGTTAACTCACTATAATTTTTTTTATAATTTTAAAAAATTTTTTATAAATATATAATATATTCTTAGCCCCAGGGGTACAGGTTTACACATTTCACAGCACTTACCATAGCACATACCCTCCCCAATGTCCATAACCCCACCACCTTCTCCTTACCTCCATCTCCCCGCAACCCTCAGTTTGTTTTAACTCACTACAATTTAAATAAAAAATTGAAAAAGGACAAAATATTAATACCGGAAGAATTGCATGGGAATATGATCTGGATTTCTGCATACAGAATATAACTACATATTTCAAGTTCTGCACTTTTTTTTTTTTTTTACATAAACCATGCCCATAATCATTTATATTATCTAGTTTTGGTTTTGTTGAAGTGTATTGAGAACTTGAAGACATAAAGCAAAATCCTTTTAGATTTGAGTCTTTTCCTAATATTTAACCATTATATTTTCACTTCTTATTCTATAGGATTTTATTTTTAATGACTCAACCTCATTGAGTCTTTCCAGAACACTATTATAGGAATAGCAATTCTTTTATCCACTCATATGTCCTTGGTTTACCTATTTTATAAATGAACTGAATAATTGTATGAACAAGCATAATTGGGAACAAACACAATTGACTCTTGGTCCACAAATATCCCAACAGATGGGGTCAAAAGTTGACAGGTAGGCTAGAGAGACAGCAGGTGGGGCCCTG